GCCCTACTTAGCGGCAGCCGCGCGGCCGCCCGCGCTTATTCCGCGCCGCCATCGCCGCGCGGCCGCGGCCGCCGGCGCGTGGCGACACCGCGCTCCGCTCCGCCCCGCGGCGCGGCGGACGGGCGGGGATCGCGCAGCGCATCGCAGCGCATCGTAGCGCATCGCGTCCCCGCCCCGAGCGGGGGGGAGCCCCGACCGCCGCCGCGCCGCCGACCGGCCGCGGAGGTGCGGCCCGGAATGGCGGCGCTCCGCCCCGCGTCCCCATTGGCCGCGGCCGCCGCAGTGCCCCGGCCCGCACCGTGCGGATCGGGCTGCGGGCAGAGCTGCGCGCCGCTCCCTCGGCTTTGTCCCCGCCGGTCCGCGGCCCCGCACCGCTCCGCACCGCCGGCCGTACCCGTCCACGAGCTCCCGTCTGCGGCTCCGGGGCGGCCCCGCCGGACCCGGCTGCGCGGAAAGCAGCGACCCCGAAGTTTGCTCCAAGCGCGGCGCGGGCGAAGGAGCGGGAAGGAAAGGTTGAGAGGGAGCGCGTGGGTCTCTGCCTCTGCCCCACGCGTAGTCAGAACCCCGCTCCGAGCGGAGCGGGCTGCGGCTGCTGTACTGTACAGGAGATACGTCTCTGGAATGGGTGAGGGATAAAGACTGATATGGAAGGCCCTGTACTCCGTTTCCTATGCTTGTTATTCTAACAGCTGCCGGAACACACGCCTCCTCCTTGTCCCTTCCAACTTTCCCGAAAGCAAAAGACCCCACTTGACTTCTGCCCCCGCTGCTTCAGGAACGCGTATCCTCCTCCAGTTCTGAGCGACGTGTGTGACTGCTCCTGCTGACCCGCCCTTGCCGCGATATTTTGTCCCCTCCAGGTCTCTGAGCACACAGCTGTGCCCCTACGCAGCACTGCGGGCAGGGAGAGCTGTACACACAGCTCTTCCTATTGGAGAGAAGCCCAAAGTTCATCAAAAGGCAAGAAGGAAGGGAAGCTTTTTATTTTTAAAACGTGCAGCAGAGGGAACACTTAAAGCCACACTCAGCACAGATGAAGCATGTCTGGTTGGCAAAATAAATTGCAAGCTTACACCTGATGAGCTTGTAACGACTGACCTGCAGCCACTGACACAGTACCTAACGTAGCCTCTGAAATAGGCTGGAAACTTGCAGTTATTTTATTCTTTAGACCCAGACTCTTGGAGTTCTCAGCGTGCAAGAAAGGTCTCTGCTTGTAACGCTTCTATGAAGTTAAGGTTCTCCTGCTCCCGTAGTAGTAACCCCTGGTAATGGTGAGGCAGCCTCCACCCCATTCATTTTTACTTCTGGAATGCACTAATCCAGACATTAGAAGCTGTAACAGGGTTTCTGCTGTCTGTGCCTCCAGTGCTGTCAGGAGCACAGCTTCACTCCTGCTCAGGAAATCCTGGCTCCATGCAGCTCTGTAAACCAACCCATGTGCTGTAGAATGGAGCTGTGCTTTTTTGAATGTATTTATTCTGTGCAGGTGGACTCAAGCAGCCAGGTTTGGTGCAGCTGCAGCGTGCAGCCCCCTTGGAGCAAGTTTCAGACCTGGTCACCAAGTTATCAGTGTAAGATATTCAGCATCAGTGAATATTCATTACGCTTTGTTTTTATATATATGCACACATGCACGTTAACTTATATACATATATATATACATACATGACAGATTTCTTTGGCCTCCTTTCAATTCACACCAAATTTGAGTTTTTTTCAAAACTGTCTACATGTCTCTTCCCTTAAATCTCATTTGTTCTCCATAACCCTATTTCTAGGCCAACTTCACTTTTAAACGTTGCATCTTGCTTGCTTGCTTTACTGGAGCCAAACCCCACCTCTCTCACCCTGCAGGTACACTAACGGTGTGCAGAGGGATGGTGTAACTACAGCACATCCTTCATCCCGCACAGATTCACCCTGCAAAGTCCCCTCATCCTTCAGCTATAAATAAGTCAGCTGCACTTATCTCACACTGCAGCGAGCTGAGTAACTGTGAGTAAAATTCCCCCATTCAAGCTACAAGATAAAAACATTTTTTACATTTCATGCTTAAATATTTTATGCTCCACTTTAATATTTTATACTTGGTGATTATATTTAGGTTTCTTATATGTAATATTTAGAAAACCCCAATCTAAAAGCTGGATGTTTGCCACCCCCCCTTCATGAAACAGATCTCTGAGTTCTGCCCACCATTGTGCTGGGATGGGGCTGACCAAGCACCGTGCTGCAGCACCTGGATCTGGGTGTGACTTCTGATGCTTCAGGACCTTATCGTGTTCAGAGGGTGAGGAGGAGGAGATACCTTCCTGAGGTGAAGTTTCAGCAAGATGTGATCTGTTAAGGCTGGTTAATTTGGGATGAAAAACAGAGGCTTGTGCTGTTATGCATTTAGAATATGTAAGTCCTGGGTATTAATTTAAAACTCCCATATCTAACCCAATCTATTTGAAAGGAACATTAATGCCAAATGCCTCAAATGCTGCTCTGAAGTGAGGTTCTTGAAACAGAAGTGAATGATGCAGATTGCCAACTGTGAACAAAAGCTATGTAAAAACAGAGAGGCTGCCCAAACTAGAAGATCTACCGATTTGTTTAAGACTATTTTCGCATTCCCAGATGGGTGAGAGAAGGCTGCCCAGCAGCCTTTAAAGCTACAGATGTTCATATTTTGCATCCTCCTTTCAACACCGTGCTCAGCTTCCTACAGCCTCTGCCATCCCACGCAGCAGCGCTGCCCCGCAGAACGCACCCATTTCTAACAGTGCTTCAACAGCCATCCCATTAACTGATGGAGCTGCAGTCAGCCTTTACAGTGCTGGTTTGCTCTTCAGATGTTCCTTCTGGGTGGCATGAGCAAAAGCAGTGCTGCAGAAGGCGCTGACGTGGGCCAAAATTAAAGCAGGTGTTGTTCAAGTCATAAACAGAAATAGAGGGCCAACTGGAGAGCCCATCTGGAGCAAGCTGTGCCCTGCCCCCACATTTCTCCGCTATATTTACCTCCACTTACACAGGTGACATTTTCAATAAAGTTAATTTCAATAAATATTTATAAATTCCTGTTTGTGCAGCTGAAGGAATCCTAGAATTTTATGAGTGTCCTGAGGACATTACAGCAGAGGTAAGTCTTCACTTGACTTTTATTAAAATTAAAAACCCTTTCTCAGCTGTTCTGTAACTGTTCTATGTTACAAAGGAAATTAAGAGATTCTAGTCTTATAACCGAATACCTTACACAACATCACTGCACAGTTTCACATCAGAAACCTCAAACCCTTTGGCATGGCGCATCCAAGAGCCAATTTAGCTGCATTGCACCAATGCTCTGCTCTCTCCCAAACCCACATTAGGGTACCCCCAACCCTTTCACAACCAAATTCGTTAACCAGAGTTAATGGTTAATTAGCATCCTCACACTCTCCAACCCCATGGGTGCATTGCCCAGGCACCCCTCTATCTCTGGTCAGCACACCTCTCCCTCTGGTTGGCAGCCCCATACTAGGGGCTGTCCCCAGGCTACATGGAGGTTCCACACTTGCTCTCAGCTAACCTCTTACACACAAGGGCTTGAAGAGTACAGCTGACAGTCTGTCTTTAGGCAAGCAGCTAATGGAAGTTTTCCAGGCCACACAACAGCAATGACTGAGGAAGTAGTTCCAGCAGTGTTGCAACATACCGTGTTTCTTGCCTGTAAGCTTTAAGTGAAGACTTAATAACTGGAACATTCATATGATCCCTCCCAGATGATTACTCTGGGCTCTAACATCAACAAGAGATCATTCATATTCAGCCTTTCCCATCATGTGGGGCCACATGAACTCTCTTCCTCCTTTTCTGTCTTTGGCATATGTTGCAGGAACTAAATGGACTCAGAGCTGTTTGCACTTCTCAGAGATGATGGGCTCAGACTTACAGCAAAAGAAGGGAGTAGAGAGAGGCAGAGCCCACAGCTCACTGCTGCCGAGATGGCCCTGCTTCCTCATTTCCCCCTCCTGGGTGCTTCACGGCACATACACTGCCCACCCCTGTGCTCACACTGTCTTTCCACAAAGACGCTCAGCCTACTGAAGCAATGCATGCACCCATTCGGCTTGCTTTGCCAGGCTACCTCTCTCCAGGTGCAGCAGGATCCTGCAGGTCTCCAAGTAGCTGAACAAGTGGGATGCAGAGTACAGCATTCACTCAGACCATCTTTTCAACACGAATAATCCAGATCATCGTCTAAGTTGATTGTTAACAAGGGACCCATTATCAAGAATGAGGAGTAACCTGCCCACCTCTGAGTCACTTTAACCCACCAAGCCAGCAGGAAGTCATTCGCATGAAAAACTTAAGAAAAAGCTTTTTCTCTTAATGAATTGGTTACTTACAGGGCATTAAAGGCACCAGAAAAGACAGATAAGCATCAGAGCAGGTGGCATCAGAAACAGGACCTGCAGCACACAGCAGCAAAAGGCTGTGACATGGCTCGGCTGTAACTCACACCCTCATACAGCACTACACAGGCCTCGCTTCCTTCACGTGAAGTTTCTGCAAGCAATTTCAGGGGTTGAAGAGCTGCTCATCACCTTAATACCTAAGCAGTTCCTCCAAGCGGGAGATTCTTTGTTCAAGAGAGGATTATAGGAGCAACTCCAGTGAACAGCCCACGCCTTGTTAGTGGGCTTCTAAGAAACAAGGTCACTGCTAACAAACAGCAGGAGCACAGCAGAGCATCACAGCTGGACAACGTGGGCACGATCAGAGTCAGCCACCGGATGAGCTGGCAGAAGTAAGAAACCGTTGTTTGCAGAACACAAGTGCACAGTGCATTTTAGCAGGTTAAAAATAAAACCATTACTGGATATT